TGGCCAACGCAGCACATCCACGGAGTATGCCACGTCAGCGACAATGGCCAGCTAGGCCATCCAGTGGGAAGTCACTGTAGCCACGTCAGCAACTCACAATCTGCCAAGCCCGTTCGTCACTGGTATGCCACTTCAAACTGAAGATACCACTACGACTTTGGAAGTGCCACGTCAGCAGGTAAGTCACTACACAAGTAAGTGCCACGTCATACAATATCCCGCTGTCCCTTTGAATGTCACGGCAGCATCCACACGCCATGCCACGTAGGCAGCACTTCCAATGCCACGTCAACAGTTCTCTACCTCTCTCTTTCTCTGATCGGTCGTTCAGCGCCACTTCAGCGCCTCAACCAACGATGCTCTCGCCGGTCACCGATCCCCACCTCAGCAACAAAGCGCCACATCAGCAATGTCGCCGGTCCACGTCATCATCTGTCTTCAGGTAAGTGAGAGAGATGCGTGACCCACCTCCTATACTTATCGTATCACGACATGGCGCGCATCAGCAGATCGTGATGAAGGAGGTAATGCTGTGATACCAAATTGCAATGAAGCCAGTCTCGAAGGAAACTCTTCAATGTCGAAATACAATATGTCTCGACGCCTGTCAATGTCTCTAATAATCATGAATGTGATATGAAGTATAATGTCTCGTAGCCAAAGGACAAAGCTGATAGGAGGGAGATAAGACTTAAGCGGGTGGACCAGAAAGTATCCATCAATGTCATCGAAGATAGATCTCCCTCATATCCCACTCCTCCTTCAGGCATCTCCCCTCTTCCACATCAACAAATAGTATCCCAAAGACAAGCCTGACAAGAACCGATTACAACATAGTGCCACGTAGGCGCAAATCTCTCATGAAGACGTCTCAGCAGCGCCGTTGTCGACATCATCAAAGCTTCCCCATCTCTCTCACAACCAATCTCACAGCCTTGATCTCCCTCCTCGTCAATACCCCAATCTGTGTCGAAGACAATGTGGCAAGGGCCACGTCAGCAATCAAGTCCCAGCTGGCGCCGAGAGCAAAAAGGCACCAGCGCACAATGCAATAGTCTTGCGTCGTCGTCACACACAATGCCGGCGTAGTGTCAGCGTCGTGCTGGCGTCAAGCAGCAAGTGCAAGACTGAATGTCGATGACAGGGGCTATTTTTAAGATCCTGGCCAATTTCGAAGTACACATTCATCAGAAAGTACAATGTCGTCGAATTGCAAAAAGAAATGAATGAACTTGAGAGGAGAGAGAGGGTGAGAAGAATAATAAGAAAGAAAGAAGAAGAAGATGATGTACACCAGCATAGACCAATGATAATGCTCTTCTTCTTCGCCAACCACTCTCCTCCTCCTTATCTTCTCCCCTCATACTCAAAGAAGAAGAAGAATAACAATGTTGAATGGGTGATCTAGAATGTTTGAGTCCCTCTTCTACTACAGGTATCACTTGAGGTCCACCATAGCCATAGCCGCCCCTATACCTTCTTCCTCATAGGCCGAGGCTATGGCGGACTACCAGGGCGTCGCCCTACTGTCCAAAGGACAAGACAAAGCAGCTATGGCTGCTCTAGCTCAGGCCACCATGCCTGACTCTGCCTCGAAGCTTCTTGGTGTAGCTCTGCCCCAACTGGCTTTCCTGCAGCAACACCCACCAAGGTGATGAAGATGGCAACCACCATAGCCAGGTCAGTACCTCTGGTGCTCCCCTTCCTAGTCCTGGTCTTCTTCCTCCTCCGTGTCCTTGCTCCTTCCCCAACAGCGCAGCTGTGTGCTAGCCCTGCTCCAACCAGCTCTCCAACCAGTGTGTTGCCAAACTTGCACACCGACAACGAGGAAGAGCAACTGGCTCCTCCTGGAGATATAGCGGTCTGCTTGCCTCTTGGCGAATGACTTCCTAGGCCGCGCAGCCTCCATGCAACCGGTACGTCCTCCCTTTCGGAGGGAAACATCACTGCAGACTCTGATATTGCCCGTACATGCCCTAGACTCAGACTGGTTGGACTGGTACCCGCCTAGACCTAGCCTACAACTACTGGGCCTGCCAACTTTTGTCTTCTTTTGCTCGGCCTCGAGTACCTTGCACATCGACCTCTACCTGGTGCGCTACCGGCCTACCTGCTACTTGAGTGTTTCCCGCTGCTTCAAGTGTCCCGGGCCTCTTTCCCCGCCACTTGAGTGTTTTCCCCCGCCGCAATCCTCAATGTCACGACCACAGGTAAGCATCGGCCCTTCGGGCCCACTGAACAAACAAGTGCCCTTGCGGGTCACACACACACTCAAGCCGACAAGCACTCAAACAGACATGCAGACCAGCAAGCGCGCACATGCACAGACTTAGAGAACTCAGTAACAAGCGGGAAACTCAGCAAGGCATTCATTCCATGAGCAAAACTCCGAAATCAGCTGCGTGTCTCAGTCCGTGTTTGGTCAGTTCATTACATTACCCCCCTCTTAAACCACCAGTACATGGGCACCTGGGCCGCGGGTCTGACACTTCAAGAGGCGTGAAACGAAAACGGGGCTGCCGATCGAATTTATCAACGGCGGGCCCAACATTTGACTTTTCGGCCTCATTTTCTTGTGGCAACAAGTTGCAGACTGCAAGGTTGGGGCCGTGTACTTGTGGTTTAAGAGCGAGGTCCCTTTGAGCGAGTAACTCAGTCTGAGTCCCCGACAAACGCATCGTAAGCAAACAAAGCAAAAAGATTTTGTGAGTACTGAGTAGAAGTGAGTTTTGCAGAGATCTTAGGTACAACTTTAGAGGCTATTTGTCGCCCATAGGCTTTAACAATGCGAGGTGCGTTGCGCAGCAGTTCCGTCTTGGAGATCCAATAGAGATCGTCCAATAGGTGATACATAAAATGAATCTGGTACCGTCAATTACGTCCCTTCCCTACGTCTTGTTTGATTCAATCGATCTCATGACCGCCCTTGATTGCACGAGGAATCATGTCTTCATGATAATCAAAGGACGCAGCATCATGATGTATATACAATTTTGATGCATGAAGGACTGGGTATGTGCGCAGATGAGGAGGCACAACAATTGTGTATGATGGGCCAAATTCATCCTTGGCAATCACGTCTAGAACTTCCCACGGACCATAATAGGGAGGGAGAAGTTTGCGTGACACTCCCTCTTCTTCTGAAAATTCATTCTGACTTTAATATCCGAAGGCTGGCGTTTCTTGTTCGCATGATGGATCATTGCATGTTGTCGCTTGGTCATTACTGCAATTTCATTTTTGAGCAAGCGATCATGCTTGGCACTGAAGCAAAGCCTGCCTAGTGTTAAACCAGTTGGCTGTTCAGGGAATAAGTAGGAGAGCGGATTACGAATCTGCCAATCGTAATGCAACCTGTTTGGCGTCATGCTAGTTGAAGAATGAATGGAATTGTTGTACAACCCCTTGAGTGAATACAACTCCGCATCCCACATTTCCTGATCCGGAATGATTAAAGCACAAAGAAGTTGGAATACAGTCTGGTTGATCTCGTCAGCCAAACCGTTGGCTTCGGGATGTCGGCCAAATGTCATGCTCAGTTTGAGGTCAGGGAGTTGGGACGTGAAGTCCTTCCATTTAGTACTTATGAAGCGCGGGTCCCGAACTGCAAAATATACTTCTGGTGCCACTCACAAGGGTTTTCGAGGTTCCGAACTGCAAAATGTACTTCTTGTGGAACTCACGGATCACAACTTCAGCTGCGACATGAGGTGGCAATGGAATCAGATTGAGGAATTTAGAAAAGCGATCAACAATCACCATCACTTGCGAATAACCCTTCTTACTTATCTTTCCCATGTCCGTGAAGTCGATAGAGACAGACTCTCCGGGACCATCGGGAATGGGAAGAGGTTTAAGCAGCCTCATGGACTTTTGTCTTGACATTCAGCCACAAACTTTTCAGCAGATCCTTTCATATCAGGCCAATCAAACTGTCTCAATAGGTTTCCGTAAGTCTTTGCCATGTGGAAGTGTTCACTCCGACCGTGAGCCAAGTCCAAGAAGTGTGTGCGGAGAGGCTCATGGTTGGGTACACACAAACGGTCATTATTTCCATAGCGTCGGAAAACCAGTCCTTCACATTCGTGAAAATCAGGCTGACTGCTGGGGTCAGCCCGCAACTGCTCAAGGATCGGACTAAGGTCCGGGCCCTTGGCAGCTTGCTCTACGAGTTCCTCCTTCAGTTTCTTCCGGAGGTCGTAGGAGTTCACAAGGCAAGTCATATACTCGGGGTGGCGAGACAATGCATCAACAAATCGATTATAACAACCCTTTTTGTGTTTAGTTCAAAATCGAAAATATCAATCTCTTGGAACCACCGAGTCAATGTAGGGGACAAGGTGGTTTATTCCCTGATCCATTTCAAAGTCTCATGATCTGAGAAGACTTTGAAGTGGCGTTCCAAAAGATAGTGTTTCCAGTGATCCAAAGCCATACATAGAGCTCGACATGTAGGTGGAAGTAGCTACCTTTTCGTTGGGCATGTGTTTGTTGAAGTACTACAGCGGCCGCAAACCATCGTCGTCATCTTGTTGTAACATTGCACCAATCCCATATTGGTTCGCATCCGTAGTGACTACGAATATGAGTTTGGAATCTGCAATGTGGAGTACACGGTAACTTACCAAGGCCTCTTTCAAGTCTTGAAATGCGGTCCCACATGTTGCATGCCACATGTAGGATACGTTCTTGCTTGTTCGTTGGGACAACGGGCGAGCAACAATAGAAAATCGGGGCACAAACTTTCGATAGTATGATGCAAGACCAAGGAAAGAACGCAATTCGCGGATGTTCGCGGGTTGAGGTCAATCGCATATGACCTCAACCTTGGTTACCTCATGCTCGAGGCCTGCAACAGACAACAGATGCCCAAGATGAATGACGTTGTCCCTCCCAAGCTCAGACTTCTCTTGTGAACACTTCCTCAAGGTGCTTCATATGTTCCTCGATGGTCTTGTTAAAAATCAATATGTCATCGAGGTAAACAACCACAAACTGACCAATCTGTTCACGGAGGACTTTGTCCATAAGACTTTGGAAGGCGGTCGGTGCGTTCGTGAGATCGAAGGTCATTACGGTGAGTTCGTAAAGCCCATCGCGTGTCTTGAACGTAGTCTTGTGCTGGTCAGCAGGATCGACTTCAATCTGGTGGTACCCAGACTTGAGGTCGATACCTTGCACCCACCTGCAGCATCAAGCAAATCATCTATGTGTGGCAATGTGTATGCATTCTTCCTTGTGATGCGGTTTAGACTGTGATAATCAATACGCATGCGGAGTTTGCCTCCTTTCTTTGGGACAAACAAAACGGTTGCACCAAATTTTAATTCGCTAGGCTTAATCCATCCCTTGCCGATCATCTCATCGATCTGTTTCCGGAGTCGTTCCACCTTGCCGGATCCCATACGGTATACACAACCCTTTGGAGGAACAACACTCTCGGTCAACTCGATCGTGTGTCGGACCGATCGCTTGGGAACTTCACGTGGTACAGCCAGAACTTCCAAAAATCGGTCGAGTAGGCTTTGAATGTTTGTTGGGACTGGTGGGGGTGGAGAATCAACAAAAGGATGACCTAGATCAGGTCGCAGATTACGAATGGAGGCAACGAAATCTGAAGTAGAGTCATTTGGATCAGAGATAGGTAAAGAAGTAGAAATGTTAGAAGCAGATCCACTAGGGAAAGGAGAACTAGTACTAGCCGCAAAAGTAGTAGGCACATGAGTAGGGCGAATGAAAGCAACATACAATTGTTCCTCCTCTTTATGCTTCCGACACTTCTTGCAGCACTGCATGGCATTTAGAAAGGTCACTGGGGAGTCGAACTTCTCGTCCAAGAGGGCGGGACGCTCGTTCCCTTGTGCATCTTTGACCATGAAAACTGGTTCTTTCCACTTGGTCCATTCGCATTAGGACTGCAACCAGCCCAACCTGAGGACTGCGTCGAAGGGACACTTGTCTAGGATATAGAAGTTCCATGCATGTGTGATGGTCTCTTCTTTGTCACACCTTTGACTGCATGTGTAGATGAAAGAACCTCTTTGTTGCCTACTTGAGTCCAGCAAGGGCTCTTCAAAGCCACTTGCTTTATCCCCAAGCCCACTTTGCGTATCCCGTGCGGTGACATGAAGTTAGTCGTAGCGCCACAATCAATCAAGACACAAAGATAACGGTGGTTAATGAGAAGTTTGAAAAAGATCAACTTTACTGCCCCTTGAGCACATTGTTTCATCTCAACCCAATGCTTTAGGTGATAGTGAAAGTCAACCTTCTCCGACTCCTCTCGAGGCTCAACATACAAAACATTACATTCATTAGCCTTGGAATCAGCAAAAGATGGGGCTTCAAGGGAGGACTGTTGGTCCGGTACATGTTCCTTTGGAGAACTATCATGAACCGGTTCAGACTCCGTTGCCGTAGAGTGTGCTAATGAACCCTCTACGCCCGATTCAGGTTTCCCTGCAACCCATAGCACCCTTGGACTTTATGATTAGTTTTTTGGCAATGCAGGCAACCTCCTTTTTTCATCATAGCCTTCCATTCAGCCTCACCGATCCGGAGGTTCACCCAAGGTTTAGTACTTGCGTGCTCCAGATTGGCCGGGATTTTGGCTCCCTTAGGAAGTACGACAAAGTTCCTCACTGAACTCCGTTTTTGGCTTCCCTTAGAATGACCAGTCTTTTTGAAGGCACCAAATTTTTCATCTTCGTTATTAATGTCAGATTCTTGAGTGGAAGAGTAAGCTGTATCAGCATCCTGTTCTTGGTCATCTGCTTTGGCCTCCCCTTCCACCTCCTGTAAGTCTAGTGCAGCTAGACGGTTGTTGTCACGAAACCGTCTGCGAACGAAGGTCTTTTTGCTGCTTGTTGTGGTAAGGAGGTCTTCTGCCTCTAGATTGACTACATCCTTCATCAAGGAAAACCAGTCCGTGTACCCAAAGAAATCTTTGCCTAGGTGATTGGTTAAATGTATGGGAACCGTACATTTAACAACATCCAAACACGATTGCACGACCAACTCCAATTCTGGCGTCGCAAAGAGTTTGCTAACTTGCAACTGCAATTTGTGCATGGTGCCCTGCCACTTGTTGCGCTTAAGTTCGTCGAGTTGGATCCTTACTCTAGTTGCGGCATGTGGGTCTTTATACTGCGCTGCTAGTATATCTTCGAGAGTGGCAGCCGGGGTGACTTTAAGCGACTCCGTTAATTCAATCTTGGGATACCCAGCTTGCATAACTTGGACTTCTAAGAAGCCCCGTGCGACAATCTCGACGTTTATCCCTAGGATCAAGGACTGGTGCACTCTTTGAGTGCCCTGTACCTCAAAGTAGGCTCTCATGGAGCTGATCCAAGACTCAACATCATCCTTGCAATCATATCTGGACAGTATCATCACCGCCTTTCTGTCCATGTATGGACTGCTATAGCTGGGACCAGCCATTGCTGGATCCGAACTCACGGTTGTGCGCTGCCGCTTATAGCAGCACCGGGGACTGCACCTGTTGCAGGCAGGGTTGTCGAGCCCCGGCCCCGGGGGCCCGGAGGGGGCCCCGGGGGCCGAGGATCGACACCCCTGGCCCCGGCGGGGGTCCCGGGGGCCGGGGATTGGCACCCCTGGCCCCGACAAAAAAATCAAAAAAAAAAAAAAAAAAAAAGCCAGGGGTCGAAACGACACATCAAGGGCCCCCCGCCAAAATTGTTGCCAAGGCCAAAAAAAAATTTTTTGGGCCGCGCTCGAGGCTGGAGCGCGAGGTTTCGAATTTTCGAAACCTGTTTCCAGTTGTACTCTGTGTGGGCTTGCCTGGCCTCTTGGGTGGGTGTGTGGCCTGCGCGGAGTGCCGCTGCGAAGTGCTGCGAAGTGCCGCCCCGTGCTGAAGTGTTGCCGTGCTGCCGTGCTGCCCTGTGAGGGAGGAGGTGCCGCCATCGCTCGGTGAGTATCACCAGCTTTGACCACCCCTTCATCATCCTCACTGCCTCCTCCTCCTCCTCCTCCTCTCCTCCTCCCCTTCCTTGTCCTCCATCTCTCCTCCTCGTCCTCCATTTTTGTCGTCCTTCTCCTCCTCCTCCTCCTTCTCCTCCTCCTCCTCCTCTCCCACAGGTGTCGAATCTGTCGATTTTTTTTTTTTTTTTTTACGTTTTCTCGATTTGTGCGTATCATCCTTGCGCTGAGGTCGTGCTAATCTTCTCTGTATCGTCCTCCATCTCTCCTCCTCGTCGCAGGTGTGTGTCATCCTTGCGCAAAACCTGGTGTGTGTGTGTGTGTGTGTGTTAGAGAGAGAGAGAGAGAGAGAGAGAGAGAGAGAGAGAGAGAGAGAGAGAGAGAGAGAGAACAATTAAGTCTCCAATATTGCAGATGGCTTCACGATACTTCGATTGATAGGATGAGCAAAATCGAATGAATCTTTCGCTCGAACATACCACGCATCTCGCAGCTGGCTTCACGATACTTCGATTGATAGGATAAGCAAAATCGAATGAATCTTTCGCTCGAACATACTACGCACCGGGGTGTGTCTATGTGTGTGTGTGTGTGTGTGTGTGTGTGTGTGTGTGTGTGTGTGTGTGTGTGTGTGTGTGTGT